GCTAGTATGCACCCTGCTTGAAAGCTATCGTCCCCGCCCCCCCCCGCCCCCCCCGCGGGCGTAAGTTTTTTCGAGGGACGAATGTAGACGGCGAATAAATCGGAAGGTCATGTGCTACACACACCTTGCATGATATACTTCAGTATCATGTTTTGATAGTTTAGGCTCCTGCGTTACTGTTTTGAAAGGAATGCATAGGGGACACCTGTTCGTGACTCCAGTTTGCAGTTTGTGTTCCATCTTCTTTTCCAACAATTCCCCTTATAGGAATTCTTCTTGTTTCTACATGGCATAACCCTGATAAACCCCAATACAAGGTTTTCGATTTCGTTGTCTTCGGCCACATTATATTTTGTAACATCATCCAGCTTATTTCAGCTGGGCACGGTCCGGTGCGGCAGGCTCAGTGCAATCAATCATGGTCCTCGCAAAGTTATAGCGCAAACAAGAAAGAACATGCAACATGAAATGGAAGCTGGGATGGTACGGGGTTTTTCATTGGGATCGTGGATCATATTTTCTGTGAGGGTTTTGGTATTTTGCTGAGCCCATGTTGGGGATCCTGTAAACGTACACAATTGCCAAAAGGATCGTATACTTTCCAGGGTGATAGGGGTAAAGATGCTTTTATTATGAAGTTTGAACCCATGTCTAGGGTAACCCCCCAACAATTTGGATCCTGCATAGTCACATGAGCCCTGTACACAAACTTCTGATTATTTCAGATATCCCTACAACATCCTACCTTAGGTGGACCCCCCACCCAGTAATAGTCACTATAAGGGATAATAAGGATTGTAATAGGGTCCTCTTATATTCCTAGTATACCACTATTACAGGGTGGGGGGTCCTCCTAAATCCTACGCCAGAATCTTCAGAGAAGCTTGTCCTTGCAGGGGCGAATACTGGCATAAAGCAGATTCTTCCGTGGCACTATACGATATTGATATAACTTCCATTTTCCAATAAACTTTGTACAAGAGACACGTAAGTCATACAAGGTACGAGCTGAATTATGTAAAGGGGCCGAGGGAAGCAAATGATGCAGACAACATTCTTGGCTTTCAAGTTATCAATCAAATTGGTGTAGCTCGCTGGATTATCTCAATAGCTTGAACCAGTTGGTTCATAGAAAAAAGGATAATTCTATTTTTTCTTGTGGGGTTCCTCATGACTAAAGTTAAAGTTGCCGAAATACTCTTCTTAAGTAACTCACCGGGGATAAGTAAGGAAGAAGGGAATATTATTTATATATATATAGGGATTATATTCCTTCATTCCCTACTAAGAACAAGTAAGACTAACCTCATTTTAAGGGTTGGGGTTTGCCCAGATAACCCTAAACCCTGAATTCTAAACCCTGTCTAAAAACCAGTGAAAAGAGACGTTGCAAAAGCAAACAAAAAGGCTGAACCCTAAGCCCTGAAGCCTTAACAAACCCTGAACCCTGAACCCTGCACCCTAAACCTGAACCCTAAACCCTGAACCCTAAACCCTGAACCCTTAAACCCTGAACCCTAAACCCTGAACCCTAAACACTTACCAACTAAGGAGACGCGACGAACACGCAACTTCCGGACACCTGGATTCCACGAAGCCGCCGTCAATGTCAGTCGCTGGATTACATAACTGGGTTGCTGTTGAGGACGTACCCAGACCCCTAAACGATCCAAAAAATCGACCCCCCAAAAAACATGGACCCCCCCCCAATATGGACCCTTTACTACATTGGGGAAACTAGGGGATTATGGGGGGTTCCGTTTGTTGGATCCTTTAGCGGGTCTGGGTATTTTAGGTTAGCATATTATGGATAGATAGTAAAGACAAAAGTTTGATTATTTTGCAACTGTCGACATAAGTTCGTTAACAGCAACCCAGATAATGCATTTTCTCAAAATAGAGTACCCCATGGGTTCCTAATGATGTATAGGCATCGTGCAAGGCAAGGTCCCCTCCGAGATTCTGTTGGGTTAAGGGGTTTAGGGTGAAGAGCTAAGGGTTTGGGGTTAGGGGGAGTTTTCAGAGGAAGTCCCAACAGAACTGGATTTAGTATGGGGCTGGGGACATTCCACTAGAGTTGTGCCAGGAGAATAGGATTCGCAATGATTCAGGCATAACTTACCAGTGCTGAAGCGGAAGGGGGAGTGAATCTAGGTGTGTCGTGTAGGATTTACGTGGAGAGCCACTCCTCCACTCCCCGTTCAACACCTGTGAGATTTGACTATCATGTGCGGAAGGCCGGAATAGGCGTGGGGTTCCGTGCCTGTTTGTGGGGGGTAGGCATGACTTCGAAGGATGAGGATAAACTGATTCCCTAACTCCAGCTAAACTGGAAACGTCTTGAAGGATATAACCCCCTAAACCCTACACCCTCAACCCACACCTAACTTCTAAGTGATGCAGGCCATAGACGTGGAGCAGATGTATGGATTGTACAGTTCCAGCTCTCAGGTGCGACGAGAAGTGTTTTAATCCATTCCCCCTAATGGTGAATATTCACGCCAAGATCCCCCAAAGTAGTGAATATTCCCAATAGCACATCAATAAATCTATATATATATATATATAGAGAGAGAGTCCTCCTTCCCCCCTCAAAAAGTGATATTCATCCGTCTGAGTATGGAGAGCTATCGTATTTGGGGGGTAGGTATTGGGGCACCGCATTTTTCGAAACTGCCATCCAGTACTATGACATCAGCAAGTGTTCCCATTGTGGTAGATGGCAATATACTAAGAATATTTGATATTGGGGCGGGAGGTTTCAATATTAGTGGGAGGGAAGTATTTGGGGGGAAAGGATTAATTGTTTGGAGGTTCTTGAAAGGATGGGTCCCTCTTCAGTGCCTGGCAATCAAGATAGTGTTGTAGGTAAGTAGAGGGACCCTGCGAATGTCGGAGTTGTCTTGTCACTGTCTTAGCTGAATAGTGCTGTGTCGTAGAGCCGTAGAGTTTTTGAGTCTTAGAAGTCTGTGGGGACGTGTCTCCTTATGCAGCCCATGT